TTGTGTTGTATTTTTATAATGAGCTGGTTTTTGAGTCATCAGTGCTTTGTTTGACATGGAACAGCCCTCATCGGCGGTGTGCAACACCTCTGTAAGTGTGTGTTTTCTATCTTTGTGTGTTTGTCTGTGTTGTGCCTGGTCTTTCCTCAGCTGCACCTGCACTAATTGTAAGTGTGCAGCTGTGATGTGAGAGCCGTACTCCAGCTGGGAGAGCTTGTTGAGCTGCCACACAAACCCGGCGAGCTAAACACCCCAGTAAGTCCCTCCTTGACTCAGCTAATGAGTGTGGAGCACAGACAATGCACCCGAATCCAGCAGCCCATCTGAGCGCCACTGCAGTCCAAGAACCGGAGGAGGTCGGCTATAGACGACTCTCAGTTTGTGCTCCTTGACCGTGAAAGTGTGGATAATCAAGCCTTTGCTGTCTCTGCCTCCTGTATGCCGACTGTGTCTTTCCTTTATTGTTAGTATCAACCCATCTCATGGGTTTCTCTCATGCTGAGTGACTCCAGATCAGTCATCCAGCCTGAAGGTCATATTTTCTTCATAAGTAAATGATACTCGCTTTGTCACAGTTTCATGTTCATGCAGGGTTTTTTTGTATTCATTATTATTAGTTGTTATTATAAAATTGGACTAATTGTTGTTTAAATGTTTCAGAAAGACATGCATTTATTATTTTTATTAAAAATAATTATAAATGTTTTTAATTAAAAAAATGTTATTATAGATTTTTTTCCATACATTTATTAATATTTTTTTGTTGTTGATCTTTTTAAAAATTTGTTTTATTATGATGCTGGATGTTTCATCAGATATGGGTTTCGATAACCTAATTGTACCAATTAAAACCGTAGTAGCCCATTGAAATCTGGAGCAGTGACAGTCCTTAAGGAATAACCTATAACATCCTTGTGTCTAAACCTTATTTCGGTAAGTCCTTGGGCATCGTGTCCGGAATAACACTGGCGGATGTTCTCTGAGAAGGACGTTAATGTGCACTTCACATTTGGTCTGTCCTCAAATGCTTAAAGGGATCCTATTATGCTTTTTCATTTTTTCAACTTTAGTTAGTCTGTAATGTTGCTGTTTGAGCATAAAAAAGATCTGCAAAGTTACAAAGCTCAAAGTCCACTTCAAAAGGAGATATTTTATTTTACAGAAATCACTTTTCAAAAACTACAACGAATGACTCGTTTGGACTACAATGCCTATTTTCCGGGATTTGTGATATCACGAATATCGACGAATGGGACGAGACCTGGTTGAGCTGCACTAGAGAAGGCAACGAGTGTTATCACTATGTCGGAGACACGCTAGCTTTCCCAAGGCAGACGAACTTAGAGTGGTTACAATCATCCGGGTTTTACAATCATTTGATTTTGACGCAATATTTACACTGAAGCTTGCAGGTGGCTATGGTAAAGGGCATGACGTTTCCCGACCAAATCACAGGACACACTGGCCCAGCTAACCAATCACAGCACATTTCGAGTTAGTCTGTAATGTTGCTGTTTGAGCATAAAAAAGATCTGCAAAGTTACAAAGCTCAAAGTCCACTTCAAAAGGAGATATTTTATTTTACAGAAATCACTTTTCAAAAACTACAACGAATGACTCGTTTGGACTACAATGCCTATTTTCCGGGATTTGTGATATCAACTATTCGAGCCGTTCATGCCAGACTGGGGAGAGAGGTGTTGTAATAATGTAAAATATGTGAAAAATAATGTGTTTTTCGAACAACCTATTATGAGAGCCTGTTCTAGTACACCCCCCAAAACAAAATCAAGTAAAAGAGCATAATAAGACCCCTTTAATGCAAGTACTGTAGAGCATTTTGTTAATTAAAAGGATATGTCCAATTTAATTTGACTCAAAAATAAGAAAATAAATGAGAGGGTCACAGCGGCCAACCAGATTTGAGTGTAATTTAATAGCATACTGTGTGGAAGTTATTATTTTTATTATCATCATCATTCTGGTACCTGTTGTCACTGTGACCTATATTCTGGTGTATCAAAAGTGGTATGTGGGTATTAGAAATACAGTCAGGATAACCGAGTCCATTCATAGTCGAAGCATGATCCCATTAGGATATCAGTAGTTTTGCTTTTTCAAAAGCTGACTTGAAATATTCATATGAAATTACAGCTATATGGGTCCGTAGGGGTTGATAGCAGGAATTCAAGCAATAAACACACCTAATAGACCCTGCACTCCAGTCGCATGCGGAGGCCAGAGAATCAGACAGATTGTCACTTTTTTCCCTTTAGATTATAAGCCCATTTATTCAGGCTCAATAACAGTTGCATGACAGGATATGGATGGTGGAGTTGTAGAAGCTGATGAGAAAGATAAACAAAGACAGAAAGTTTTATATTAACGGATTATTGCTGCCTTCAAGTCATGTCAGAATTATCGTATTTACGAGAAGAGCGCTCATGTGCCATCAGTGCCAGTGGGGAATCCTGGATTTTCTTTGAACCCTGACTTTTTGAGTCTAGGATGTGTCCATTAAATAATCACAGTGGATGATTTTGCTTATAGGTTATAATTGAGCTGGAGTGAAGAATGTTGACTGTACAATTTAGTACTGTACGTTTCTTCATCTTAGTGTGCTACATAAAAGCTTCCAGGGTTTGTCTGCAAATTACATGTCTGTTTTTCCAGAACATTTAATGGTGTAAATTAAAAGTTGTAAAATGACTTTCAAACTCATAAGATGTTGTATGTTGTTAAATCTCATTGTGTGATTTGTTCTGTAGTAGGTAATCTGTGTTGTGGTCTAGGCTTAATACAAATGTTTGTTGTTCTTACTCAAACCACGCCCCTTCGCATACATCAAGTAAGGTATAAATTACAGTCAGCCTGTCGTTATTGCAACATACTGTAAACCCTGACGGGGTGATGATCGGGACCCTCAAGGCAAGTCCACTTTTTCCACAGCTCCTTAACCAATAAATGTGTTTTTATTTTAGTCTTACTTTTTATTTGGTGTGCTGGTTGTGACATCATGGAATGGCAAAGAATACTCATGAATATTAAGTCATGAACAGAGAATTTATCACTATCTTTTATTGTTTTTTTTTATGTGCTTGAAATTAATATTGTTTCTCTGATGCTGTCAGTGACAGGTTTCATTGACCTTTCAGCATTATTACAGGTTATTAAAGAGAATTGTCATAAAGTTAATTATTTTGTTGTTACATTAAAACATCAGCATTAAATAGACCAACAGTTAAATTTAAAAAAAAAAATGCATTTAGTTGGATATCTTGGGATGGTCAGTTTGTTTGAATCAGTTGGACCTAGGCAAGTTGATGCATTAGCACGTGCTTGAAATTAATATTGTTTCTCTGATGCTGTCAGTGACAGGTTTCATTGACCTTTCAGCATTATTACAGGTTATTAAAGAGAATTGTCATAAAGTTAATTATTTTGTTGTTACATTAAAACATCAGCATTAAATAGACCAACAGTTAAATTTAAAAAAAAAATGCATTTAGTTGGATATCTTGGGATGGTCAGTTTGTTTGAATCAGTTGGACCTAGGCAAGTTGATGCATTAGCACTTTTTTTATGTTATTAACCCTAGAACCGCCACGGGGTAAATTTTACCCGTGGCTGTTTTTCAAATGTACATAAAAGATTTAAAATAAAACATTTAAGTCTCCCAGTCATTGACTTTTACTAAAATTATGTAATTTACAATCCAATGTTGTTACAAATTATTTTGATAAAACCAGATCAAGAAACGGGGCATTTATACCTATAAGCGCCAGCGGGTCAAACTTACCCACCTATATAATGCATGTATTTTTGGGCTGTCATTTTCTTTCCGCTTATGTTTTAACATTGTACATTTCAACGGCAATGCCTTTCACTCTTATCACATGGTTATCAGTTTCATAAATAAAGTCAAAGTGACTAAAAAAAGGCGATTTATGGAAGGTAGGTATTAGAAACACTAAATGCCATGAGCGATGGAGAGTCTGATGGTAAGTTATGAGTCCTGGGTCGGCTCAGCATCTGACGGCTCATCTGACAGTGATCCAGATATCGTATTTACATGTTTTAGCCTCACGTTACTCTAATTGGTCAAACTTTGGTTTAATTATAAAATTTTTGTCTTGCCATATAGTTTATTGTTCGCTACTGTGTTGCTATTCTAGTCTGGCCATTTCCTGAAGAAAAAAAAAATCTGATCTACAGTATATGATGTAATGAATAAAACCAATTTTTGAATACCCAAAGTTTAATGGTGTTGTTCTCTTATTCAAATTATAAATTATATAACTAAACAAATTAATAAATATTTAGGTGAAGCTAAATCATCCTATGCAGTGTGGTGAATTATTATTGCTCATTATGGTCTATAGGCTATTTTAGTCATTTAAATACCATGGGTTATCTTAATATATTGATTAATGACATTGTATTATAATATTAGCCTACACCACCCAAATATTTAGGCTACTACCTTCTAATTTCCGTTGTCAGTGCAGGCTTTTTTTTCTGCATTAAAAAAATCTTGAACATAAAACAGGAAGATAAAAATATAGTTGATGACTAGACAGAATCATTTCATGACTCTAGACACTTCTTTGTGAAGACAGTGGCATAATACAGTGAAATAATATGTTCTTTAGCCATATAAATACAGTTGTCATGTGCGTGGGTAAAATTTACCCGCTGGCGCTTTTAGGTATACAGCGACCTCTGGCAGTTCTAGTGTTAAAGACAGCTTTTTTTTCTTGTAATTAGGCTGAATTTGACTGTTTTTTATGAAAAAAATATTACAGTTGCCGTTACATATCATCACTATAATGGTTAGATTGTCTCCTGTACTAGCTGATAAATGCCACTGATCACAATGGTACATCAAGCAGGGAAGGTATAATGGGGAATTATGAATACTGAGAACAACATATGTAACTGTGCACACCATTTACTTTGGCAAAGGATTAATATAATGTGTTCTTTTTTTTAACTTCCAGATCACTTTCATCTATGATTGATGAAGATATGTGAGTGAATTTGCCAAATACTGAACAAAGAAATCTACTGCATCCTCCGGTAAGTGCTTTGACTGATGATCCTTCACTGCTCATTTCTGCTAATGATTGTTCACCTAATCGCAGATTTGCACACACACGTGCCGCTTGCATGCTGTTATCTTCAAAACAACTTTCCCGAATTAACTCGAATGGCGTAATTGGTGCTAAAAACTGGAAAGCATGCATGTTATCGTGTCAGACGCTCATATTTCTCGAGCACAGTCAAACGACGAATTTATTTAGTGTTTTTGAGCAGCAACAGAACGCTCTGTATAACATGAGTCATAATTAGCAGCGGGGCCTCTCAAATCACTCGCTGCTTTGTTGTTCCCCCTTACAACGTCAGTGTCAGTTTTTTTATGTGATTATTAAAGGCAGGCACAATTACTGAGATGTGAGATTCTTTGGAAAAAAAATCAGTTTGAGCAGGCAGTCGGAGACAATCGTCTAAACGGCACATGTGGCATGAAGTGTTTCATCCTGAGCCTTTAATACGTTCACCGCTTTTTGCCTAGTCTTGTGTACTGATGCGACATGGAACAGCTCGAAGGTGAAAATGTGTTTTTTTTTGGTAGCATATACATTATGCTAATGAGTTTGCAAGGAGGCGGAGCCATAAAGGCCAGATTGCCAGGAGAAGAGAAGCCTGTAAATTATGGATGCAAACTGCCATATCTGTCAGGGCAAAGAAAAGAGAGGGGTTAGGAGAAACCACAAGTCATGCATATCAGATTATCCTTCTTTTACCCCTCCTGCTCCCTCACTTTTACTAAATTTTCTTATCATGCTTCTTGAGCAAACTTGCACACACAATCTGGGCTGTGTATCTCCAGTCACATGAGGGCCAGAGGTGCTGACGAGCTGGAATGCTTGGCCTGGTATTTCCTGATGCTCACACACACATGTACACAAACACACACTCGCGTAAACGCACGGGGCAGGCTATATATTTGTGGATGGGTTCATGGGTCCATAGAGACTTCTTTTTATTTATTGCAGACAAAATGTATTGCTGTTCACGATTTTTTGTTTGTTTGTTTGTTTTTGAAAGATGTCTCTTATGCTCACCAAGGCTGAATTTATTTGATCAAAAATACAGTAAAACTGTAATATTGTCAAATATTATTGCAATTTAAAATAACAATTTCTATTTTAATCATTTGTAAAGTGTAATTTAATCCTGATTCTTATAAAAATCTTATTAATTCTTATTTCTTCTTCTTTAATGTCAACCTTGCTGAAAAAAAGTATGAATTGCTTTCAAAAGAAAATGGTGGTGGTGTGTGTGTCTGTATATATATATATGCATTTACTTAAGTAAATAATTAACATCCTCTCTGATAAAGGCACTTTATAAGTCTTATTTATGAAAAGATTGTATGAAAACTTACCATCTGCTCTGGCATGTGACTGGCAATTATTTTTGTTGAACTGAAAGATTATGAATCATTTAGTTTTGTAATTGGACACAATCTTCACCAAAGGGAAAAAAAATCAGTCTATATAAAATAATTGAATAATTCCAAAGCTAATTAAATGCTGCATGCATTATAAAAGCCTTTCACAAGGTAAAATCTTTAAGATAAATGAATAAACTCATTAAAATGTTCTTAAAAAGGTCTATTTTCAACCTTCATTCTAGTTATTCAGTGATTCATTCTGTTCTGTTTTGTTCCTACCTTCACAAAACGGGGGAATTTCCGATAGTGGTGGGTTTCAGCGAGATCAGGTCAGAAGTGGGTGGGTCTCTGTGAAAGTATATGTGTTTGTGGGGGAATAATGGAGCCATTCTTCAGCTCTATGGAAGCCGCTATACAGGGGCGTGTGGTGGACCTGCCAGAGGCACTGGGTTCTCCTTAAAATAGCTCCAACCCTCGAATGTCAGAAGCAAAGCTGAGACTGCGCACCGAACACTGGCCATTTGACCGAGTGCATCAAAGAAATCTCTATGAAGTCCTTGAGATTTTTGCCGCAACCAGGAAAACATCCAGTCATAATAAGTTAATCATGTTTTGATTTTGATCTAATATTGAAACGTGGCAGTCTTTTGACATTTGTGCAGAAATAAATTTCCGTATCATACCACAAACCCACAAATCTGTGTGCATGCATGGCAGGCAGATCCAGAGAGCTAGTAGGTTGCCCATCAGGATGTTTGTTTAACAATGATTCAAAAGGTCATTTAGTTGGACTATGCGGTTAGGATTATTTTTGCTGTAATCAGAATGATTTCATACCAAGTCACATGTTTGACATGGGTTCATGATTTCAGTGATCAATTTGACTGCTTCTTGCACTACAAACAGTAGCAGAAAGCTCAGAGAAAACACAAGCAGGGATCAATCCGGTCTGCCCATGAGTGGCAAAAGTAAACAAAACTAACATTTTAAATAAATCTGATTATTTTTTTCTTTTCTTTAGAAACCACAAGTCTCTAAAAACCCAGTCAGAAGAGTTTATGCTATTCCTCTGGTATTTATTATTAGTAAACCATTATGCTGCTCGATTCTCAAAGCTGGTGGAATAAATTTCTTTCGGCAGTATTTCACCTCTGTCTTATTTACTAACCACCCGCAATCTAGTTTTACCAGACTTTATTTTTTATGTGTTTTTTTTAGTCCAGACATTAAAAGAATGAATTCAGTTGGGTTCAGTTTTGTTTAGACCCCAAACATTCTTCAAGATATCTCGTTTTATGTTATGCATAAGTCATACAGATTTGGAATGACATAAGGTTAAACTATTTTAAGTGAATTATCCCTTTAAAATAAGAGAAATTTACTTGAGAATCAATATTGCATAACATATTTTAACTGTAAAATTAGACAAATATTTATTAAGAATAAGATTTAGATTGTACATTGTTCACTTAAGCTAGTTAACGTTGCACCATTGCGCCATTGCTGCTCACAGAAAGCTGGTGGTAAATTCAATTTTGTTTACATTTTCTATTGATTGCAATTCTTCATGTGATGATCAAATGATGGAGAAGTGCACTGGAACGTTCTAAAAATCCATATGTCTAGACAAACGTACTTTTTGTCATTTTAAAGAACTGATTTAGTTGTCTGCTGTGGTGGAGCGATTGTCCCAGTAAAGTATGTCAGATTGTGGTAGTCTGTCGTAGGCTTGCAAAGGGGTGGACAATTTTCGGAAACCTTCCAAAAATCCCTGGAAGATTCCAAAAAATCCTGGAAAGTTTGCAAAATTTCTGGAATGTTTCCAAAATTTCTGGAATGTGTCCGAAATGTACTGGAAATGTTCCACCTTTTTGCAACCAGAATATGTTGTGACACCTAGAACCACGTACAAGATGGGTAAATCCAGGCATGCAGATTGTGTTCAGGACAGAATTTTTGGTGTGCTTCTACTGTTACCTGCATTGCACAAGTAGTAGGTCTATAGCATAAAAAACAGTGCAAGCAAACAAATGATAATATCAGTGTGTGCTGCTTCTGTTTTGTCCTTAACCTTCTGGCAAAGTTGATTTTGTGACAGTGGTATGGCCATGTTAATGGTATAATAAAGGATACTGTAGCAATTTGAACAACAAATGAATTCCCGTTAGGGCCACCAGTGTTACAGACACCTTGCGTGCTTCACCCTGTGCCCAGGTGAGTGTAATCAATGACCGAATGGTTCATAAATAACATGCTTGATTTCTCAGGCTCAGTGCTTGGCCGTAGCGAACTCCCGCCACGACACCTCATGTGTACTTTTAACCTTGCTTGTGCAGACAGATGAGTGCTGGAATCGACCCTCCAAAGGGGATTGAAGAGAGCTGAGACAAATAACATTAGAGGGCAAAAGCAGATCGGGGAGGTTGAGTTTTCTGGATACAGACACAAAGCCGACTGATCTCATTTGATATAATTTATGATTTGAGATTAATCAGATGTAGAAAACCTGTGTTGAGGAAGCTGCTATGAAACTGTTACTTAGTTTCAGAATTTAACTACATCTAAGTCACACTTTTTGAAGTAAATGGCTACATTTGAAGCTATTTAAGGGAGTAGTTTTTTTAAATAGTATGAGGCCTCAATTTGACAACTTGAATAGATACATTTACACTTAACCAAATAAAACTAGAAAAAAAAAATGTTTTTAGGAACCAGTTTATTTACATATGAACCATTCAGATGAATGAATCACTGAAATGTTCTTGAATGAACATGTTTCAATTTTGCTTCAGTTCACTCGTTTTGTCACGCGACACCGCTAGTTGTTGGAAAAAATAGCATGATACTGGAAAAACTACTGTTTTGAACACAACCAAGCTGCTGAAAAATTTAGTTAGTAGTGTCGCTACCTTCAGTTAGTTCCGTCCCAACACCAATCCTCATAGTGACCTATAAATGTCACGAATTAAGACTTTGTTAACTGACCCTTGGACAGTAAGACATGTAATGGGTCTGTAGTTTACCTCGGGCTCTTTATGTGATTTACAGCCCTGTTCCAGTCTGAACTGTAAATATTCATGTCCTTGGAGCAGACGAGACATGATCTCATTCGCTTCTGCCAGGGCATCTCGTGTAGGCACAGGCTCCGCAGATGTAAATCGCTGTTTACTTCATTACATCATTAGCTGTGTTTCCTTGGGCCCTTGAGAAATGAGGTGAAACACGCTGGTTACTGTGTGCCCTCTATGCCCTATCGAGCTGGAGAAACCCGCCAAGTGAAGCTTATTTCCTCCCTCTATTTGCAGAGGAGATTGTTTGGCGATCCTGTTGAATTTCTTGGACAAATAACTTGTGTGCACATCTAAATTATAGAACATTTGCCAATTTAGGAAGCCTTTTCTTGCATTTATCATATCATTGCACCTTTATTTGCCTCTTCAGTGATTTCCGGGTGATTGGATTTCAACACGGATGGAAAGATGGCAGATTTCATTGAAAGGTTTGTTAAAAACCGCTCCGCACAATAGCGCTCCAAGGTAAAGTGCTAAAAGAGAAGCTCTTGTTTATGAAAGGGGTGTGTAGAGCTTAGAGCAGGTGCAAAAGTAGATCATACTTACAG